AGTCCTCGAAGCCCGGCTCTGCCCCAGCAGAAAGGGTCCGGGACGCGGACAGTGTGAAGTATGGGATGACCACAGCCATTCAGCAAAGTCCGTACCCTGATTTCGGCCTTGAATGATGCTCCCCCTCCCTCCCCTTTCGGAGCGGGAGCGGGCACTCCAGGTGGGAAACTCCCGGTTTGCATTGACCGAAGTCTCTGCCTCAGGAAGGCAGCCTCCAGCGACCGAGTCTAACCGGCCACCCGCAACTCTTCGCTCGCAAGGACCCTGGTCCCTCCATCCCGCCCCCGCAACCCGCCACAGACAGGCCCGTGCCCCACCCCGGATCCCGGCGTCCCCCGCCCCGCCCCGGAGAAGGGTCCCCCCCCCAAAGCCCCTCTCTCTCTCTCACACACACACGCACACACACACACACACACACGCACACACACATACACATATCTCCTCAGATTGGTCTCCCAGACCCAGTCGAAGCCAGAGCAACTACCTGTATCGGCCGCACTCCGAGGTTCCAAGGGGGCGGGCGCGGTCCCCTCCCCGAGACGCCGAGTGATTCTCACGGCCACCCTTAAAGCGACGGCTTCGCTTTCCCAGGAGCGGGAGGGAGACGAGGAGGCGGAGGGGGGGGGGGGGAAGGAGAAGAGTTGAGGGGCGGCCGGAGCCAAACCGGAAGTACTAATGCTGGCCCCACCCACCTCCAGGAGCCGCAGCTGCATCCTGGCTCTCCTGATAGGACAAACCCTCAGCAGTCAATGAGAAATTCAGATCACCACTTCCGGGTCGTCCATGCTGCAGCCCCTCCTTAGCAACAGCGTGGGGTTGCTAAGCGGAAGTGCCTTTAAAGATACCCACCCTCCATTTCTTCTGGGACTGTTGGGCGGTGGGTCGGGAACTTCGTGTTCTCCTTTGGCAATATCCTTAGACCTTTAATTTGCAGTATTAGACCAAGTAAACGCCTCGCTGCCGCAGGTAGTCTGGTTCCCTCAGCTATTCTCCAACACCAGCGCCAAACTACACACACCTTCTCGCCTCTTCTCGAATCCTAGGCCAACCCGGCGGCTCCTCCCAAAGCTCCTCTCTCAGGGCCCTAGCGGGAGTTTCTCCTGGTCTAGCAGGCTTCTCCCTTTGGTGGATTTCCTGTCGTTTCAACCAGACATTTGCAGGCATTTCGTTCTGAAACGGCCCGAGAAGTCGAATAGAGGGTAAGAAAAGTTTCGTCTTAGCTTGTTTTCTTTTATTAAAATAAGGTTTAGCGTATTTATATGTAACCTGGAAATAACGTAGCTCTATCTAAAGGAGGTGGGCTTTCCATGTAAATTGACCAGGGAAAAATTACTCCCTAAAACAACAAAGCAAGAGTAAAGAATACCAGTAACTAAGCTTGAGTAAGAAGACAACTAATCCTTCAGAATAAACCATCATACCTATTCCGTGAACAAGAACGTTGTCCATAAAAAAGCCTCATTAAGGCCGGGGATGTAGTTCTATGGTACAGCACTTGCCTGGCATGGGCAAGGTCCTTAGTTCTATCCCCTGGCACTGAAAAAAGCGGGTGGGGGCAGTGGGTGGGGAGCAAAACCTCATTTAAAGTGGGCATGGTAAGCGGGCCTGTAATGCTTGGACTCCAGAGGGAGAGAGCATAGGGAGTACAAAGCCCAGTTTATATGGGGAGTTCCAGTTTTAAAACATTTTCCTTAGCATGCCTCAGGCACTAGGTTCAATCTTACATTTAAAAAACCGGTAAACGATGGTTGGGCAGAAGCCAACAAAATAACCCTCTCTTTATAAAATGACCCGTATAATTTCAGTCTTTACATTTTAAGAGAAACCTGGGTGGTGGGAATCATTATGAGACTTTATATTTTGAGTCAGGACACTATGAAGCCCAGACTGACCTGAACTGTGTAGACCAGGTTGGCCTTGAACTCAAGAGATCCATCCACCTGCCTCTGCCTCCTGAATGCTGAAATTTAAACCATGCATCACCAGGATGGACTGACTTTCCTAACTTTAGCTTCGAAATATTTTTCCACCGATTTGCAACTACAGGCCCCAATTTTATCAGTCACAAAATTACTGGTAAACTGTTGTTCACCTCAGCTAGGATAGAAAACTAGGTTTGGTAACTCTGTTCATTTCCTAGACCCATAGGATGACATTAAATTGATTCATCCTAGGTAATCAATTCAGTAAAGCTTTTAGAGAACCACTTTAGCTTCTGATGTACCAGTAGCAGGTTGTTTAATAAGCCTAAAATATCCCCACCTCTGCCATTATCATGTGTGTCTGATACCACACACACACACACACACACACACACCTGGCTCCAAGTGATGAGTGATAAAGCACTACCAGAGTTTACTATTTCAACTGCCAATGGGTGTAAATACGATCCTTTAACTTCTAAAATAAATACAAATCTGAGCCCAATGAGCAACAGCTTATGATGTACGTAAACATGGTTATGGTTTAAAACAAAAATGGGGCCTATAGAAATTACTGCCTCATTAAAAAAAATTAAATTATATTCAACTATGAGCTTAAGCTCCTGGCAATGCACACACCTTTACAGAACACAACCCCTACTGGAGTGCTTTATAAGCAGCGTTTAGCTCCTTCCCTTACTGCTTTGGGGCTTTTTTGGTTTGGTTTTGTTTGTTTTCTCGAGACAGGGTTTCTCTGTGTAGCTTTAGAGCCTGTCCTGGAACTCGGTCTATAGACCAGGCTGGTCTCAAACTCACAGAGATCTGCCTGCCTCTGCCTTCCAAGTGCTGGGTGGAACTAAAGGTGTGCACCACCACCACACAGCTGGGTTTTTTTTTAATTCACTTTTCTATGTGTCTGAAAAACTGAGTTGTGTCCTAAATGATCAAATGAGCTTTTGTAATTCTTTCATTTTCAAATACTCATTGCTTGGAGACCTTGAAAGATAAGTAGCAAAGTCCTAACCTAAAGCTACATGTGTGAGTTTAACTACACTTTTGTAATTTTGTAAATAATGTTACAGGAATCCATATTCTTTTATTATTATATTTATTTTGGTGTAGGCGTATGAATGTGGAAATTAGAATATGCTCAAGGTCCTTCGCTCCTTCAACCAGATTGATCCCAGAGACTGAGCTCAGGTTGCCAGGCTTGGTATTAGCAGCAATTGCCCTTCCCTTTGAGTTATTCGGCTGGGCTAGGATATACTCTTAATATGAACTGCAGAATATTATGTTCATAGGCTAGATCTTAGTTGCCTTCAAAAAGCCAGTACAGTACCTGTATCATGTGATTAATATGGGACTTCCAGCCTCCTGTCTTTAAATTCACTTTTTAATTTTGTTTTCTTTGTAATGACTTAATGAATTAAGTTGAGCATGATGCCTGTAATTCTAGCACTTCAGAACTGAGTTAGGAAGATTGACATGAATTATAACCCACTCTGGACTAAACAACAAAAAGAGCAAAGGGAGTGGAGAGATGGCTCGGTGGCTAGAAGCACTTGCTGTTCCTCTAGAGGACCTAGGTTCAATTCTCAGCACCCATGTGGCAGCTCACAACTGCCTGAAACTTCAGTTCCAGGGGATCCATGATACCAGGTGTGCATGTGGTGCACATATATATGTGCATACAGCAAAATATTCATACACATAAATAAATGTCTTTTTTAATAAAGCAAATTTGATGGTTTTTTGGGAAACTCAGTACTCTAGAGTAACTAGTGCTGAACATGTTAGAGTGCTAGTTAGGTAGCACACACCTGTATTCTCACCAGCACACAGAAGACAGATTGGGGACCAAGTTCAAGACCACTCTGAGTTATAAACAATAAAACAAAATATGTACTGTTAGAGTTCATCTGGTTTCTCTAAACATAAAAAACAAAACAAAACTTGGGACTGGAGAGATGGCTCAGTAGTTAAGAGCACTGACTGCTCTTCAGAAGACCAGGGTTCAATTCCCAGCACCCACGTGGTAACTCACAACTGTCAGGAGTTTCAGTTCCAGGGGGTCTGACAGCCTCACACAGACAGACAGGCCGACAAAACAGCAATGTACATAAAATAAAATAAAAATAAACGATTAAAAATAACACCAAACTAGAAATGAATAGTTTATGATGACTACTCAAGGCAAGAAAGAAGAAATTTAGTCAGATTTGCCTTTTTTGTGCCTAAGTAATAATCAATTGATGCACAAGTGATTCAGAGAAACTCAGGATATGTGACAAACAGTAAAACATTAAGCCTAATGAAAAGAAGGCTAAAGAGACAACATTTTTAAATAACTGAAAATTGATATGTGGGCCAGGCGGTGGTGGCGCACACCTTTAATCCCAGCACTTGGGAGGCAGAGGCAGGCGGATCTCTGTGAGTTCGAGACCAGCCTGGTCTACAAGAGCTAGTTCCAGGACAGGCTCCAAAACCACAGAGAAACCCTGTCTCGAATAACAAAAAAAAAAAAAAAAGAAAGAAAGAAAGAAAGAAAATTGAAATATGGAATAGCACATCCTTTCAAGAATGGGCCAAGCAGGTCTGTAGAGACAGCTCAGAGGTTAAGAGCACTTACAGCTTTTCTTCCAGAGGTCTTGAGTTCAATTCCCAGCAACCACATGGTGGCTCACAACCATCTATAATACAATCTGGTGCCCTCTTCTGGCATGCAGGCAGAACATAATAAATAAGTTATTCTTAAAAGATTTAAAAAAAAAAAGAATGGACTGTAAATAGATGGTAGTTAAAACAACTCAAACTCAACATTCTTTCATATTACAGTTGTTGAGTCATGGAACAGTCTATTTATTGAGGAGTTACTGTGACTTCTAACCATCTTTCCATCTGATTTGATGACAGTCTCCTCTGTTTCTGTATACTATTCTCAAAGATTTTTTTTTGCCATGCTAAAGGCAAAGACGAAAATCAGACTGTTTATTGCAGAAATATGGTCAAGGTTCCATTTAAGGGGCCCCAGGTGAGGAGGGGCTGGACCTCTGGGCCCAAAGCTGGGCAGGGAAGATGGAGCAACAGAGGACCTCCATCTGGCCGGGTCTCAGAGCTGGGAGAGGACGCTGGAGGCCAGGCTGCAGGTGAGGCCTGTGCCATCCGGCTCCACATTCAGCGCCTTCACTACGCCATTGTCTACCCCCATGGAGAACCTCTTCAGCCTGCGGTTCCCAAAGAGAGACATCAAAGAATAGCCCAGTAATAAATCTGTCTCCTTCCCAAAGGCCCCAGTTGGGTCAGCCAGGAGCTGAACCTTGCCTTTTGCCTGATGGGCTCGACCCCACTCTTCTGTCACAAAGATGTCATTAACAGTCAGACATGACAACACCTGCACTCCCTTGGCCTTCAGAGCCTCATCTTGCTCCACAAACCCAGGCAGGTGGATTTTAGAACAGCCAGGGGTGAACGCCCCAGGAACTCCGAACAGCACACCTTTCTTGCCCTTGAACAGCTCTGCCAGGTTCACCTTCTTCCCAGGCTCCCCTTCAAATACCTCCACGGAGAGGATGGCATCTCCCACCTTGATCGGGGCCATAGCCACTGTGGTGCTGCTGAAGCTGCGGGCCCTGCTACGTTTCCACCCCGCTGCTTCCCGGCTTGCTCTGCCGGCCTCACATGTCCAGTTAGCAGGGGCACGGAGCACTGCATGGAGCACCGAACCGGCTCTGCCGCCCAGATCGTGTATCCCTGACTGCAACATGCCCGCCCCATTGTCGCAGCCCTCCGCCCGTCGCTAGGTCTCCAAAGATTTTTTTTTTTTAAAAAAGGACCAACTATGATAATGTTGGTTGGACAAGGCCCTTCTAAACTTTCAGTTTTTCTAGAAGAGTTTATCTGGAAGATTATAACTATAGTAGGATTTATAAGCTGTTTATAGGGAGACCTGTCTCAAAATGGGCTGGTGGGGGATAAAGCAGAAAGGGGCTGGGAGATGGCTGAATAAATAAAGGTGCTTCCTGCAAGCCTGAAGACCTGAATCTTTGATCCTACTGGGAAATGCTGACTTTCACAAGTTGTCCTCTGACCTTTATACACATTCAACACATCCATACCCATATATATGTCTGCAGACTGTAAATAAATCCAATATATCCTACATTTTGGAAACAATTATACACATCAGAATTTGGCTCATTAGGCTCACCAGCATAAAGTTGCTCTACTAGTGAGAGCAAATCAGATTTCAGAGCTACTAAAACCTGACTTTAAAAGACTTGGTTTAGAGGGAGAGATGGCTCAGCAGTTCCTAGTACTGACTGCTCTTCCAGGGGTCCTGAGTTCAATTCCCAGCAACCACATGGTTGTTCGCAACCATCTATAATAGGATCTGATGCCCTCTTCTGGCCTGCAGTTATACATGCAGAGCTCTCATACATAAAATATAAATAAACTTTAACCTACTTCTTAAAATCAAACCAAAATCAGGCAGCAATGGTGTATACTCTTTTAATCCCGGCACTCAGGAGACAGAGGCAGGTGAATCTTTTAAGTTCAAGACTAGCCTGATCTAAAAAGAAGTTCTAGGCCAGCCAGGGCTACACAGAGAAACCCTGTCTCAAAAAATAAAATACAAACAATAACAAAACTTACCCATTTGTGTTGGCAGATAACTGTAATCCCAGCACATGGAAAGATGAGGAGGGTGATTGTCTCAGGGTCAAGACCAGCCTGGTTGAATTTCAGTTCAACCTGAGATTTGGTGAGATCCTCTTTAAAGCTAAAACATGGCTAGAGAGAGGGTTCAGTGGTTAAGACCACTTGTTGCTCTTGTAGAAGACCCAGGTTCAGTTCCCAGCCCCCACTTGACAACAACTGTATCCTAATTCCAGGTACAGCAGATCTGAGGCCCTCTTCTAGCAACACACACACACACACACACACACTCCACATACACATATGTACATTTAGGCAAAACACTCAAAACACATAAAATAAAAATAAACCTTTATTTAAAAAGCTAAAACCACAAACAAAAAAGGAAACAAGAAACATAATTTTCAAAGTAATTGGATTAAGAGGTTCTGCTTAGTGTCTAAAATGTAAAAGACAAACCATAAAAAAGTCTATAATCAGCTGATCTCAAATGATTTGTAAATTGACTTAAAAATAACACCAATACATTTATTTGTATTTGGAAATAAAATAGTATAGATGGTAGGAAACACAAATGGATACTGTATTGTAAAACTGCGCATTTATTTTAAACATTACACAAAAACATGGCTGCTAAGAACATGGATAATTTTGAAAATTGATAGCCTGTCATTAAACAAAACACAATGAGAAAATCAAGTATATCATTTAACATAGTGGTACATATATTTGATCCCAGCATTTACGAAACAAACAGATCTGTGAGTTCAAAGCTAGCTTGCTCTACATATTGAGTTCAGGCCACTTAGAGGCTACATAATGAGATGCTGCCTCAAAATAATTAGTATACCTATCTCTTCAATGATCAAATCATCTTGTGAAGTGAAGGAGAGGGCAGTAGTGGCACACGCCTTTAATCCCTGTACTCCAGAGGCAGGTGGATCTCTGTGAGTTAGAGGCCAGCCTGGTCTAGACTGAGTTCTAGGATAGCCAGGGCTACACAGAGAAACTCTGTCTTGAAAAAAAACCAAAGGAGTGTGGGGGAGGAGAGAGAAATGAAAGGGAAATTCTAAGGACTTGAGGCATAAAACTTGATTTATAGCATGATTTGTCAAATTTTTTACTCCCGACTTTAAAAACATTGGCAAAAACCGGGCATGGTGGCAAAGTCTTTAATCACAGCATTCAGGAGGCAGAGGCAGGCGGATCACTGAGTTCAAGATCAGCCTGATCTATAGAGCAAGTTCCAGGACAGCCAGGACTACATAGAAAAACTCTGTCTTGGGGAAGAAAAAGAAAAAATACATATGCAAAAAAGGTAATATTTTATGATATTGAACTGAATGTATATCTAAGAAATCTTTGTTCCTGATTCTATTGGTATTGTTTTTGTTTTTTTGAGACAGCGTTTCTCTATACAACTGCACTGACTGTCCTGTAGCTCCATTTGTAGATCAGGATTACCTACAACTCAAAGAGGTTCACCTGCCTCTGCCTCCCGAGTGCTGGGATCAAAGGTGTGCACCACCATACCCAGCTGACATTTTATCTTTGTCCCCCCCCCCCCATTTTAAGAAATGGCAAGAGATTAAATTCAGTTAATACTGATTTTTTTAATGTGAAAAAGACTAAGTTGAGTTTTTAACGCAAACAAGCCATAACAATTTGGCACTATTTCAATAATGAAGTGTCCATAATATGGTATTGGTACATAGATCTAAGCAAATCTCAAAGACGGTATATTAGTAATTAGAACATCATGCAATGTTGATTTTAGCAAGAAACTTAACAGGTAAAAGAAGCATCTTATTACATTATAAATTCGAGTATGCAATTATAATTTACAAATTATAAAAATCCTCCCTTTTTACAGCCAGTTGTTTTGAATGGCTACATGAATGCGTAGTCAACAAGTCAAATAAACAAACACATCTACCCAAATTTACATCCCAGAATACCTAAGTAAACTGAAGACATTATGCAGATGAGTAAGTTCTATTCATTTTCGTCATCTGGGTGGTCAGGTTGCAAAGGACATGCTCTGTGAAGAAGAGAATTTAAATCACTCAAGTATCAACTGTCTATAAAATCAGAACATTAATAATAAAGGTCTGGCTCAAGTAACTAGAAATGAGAGAAAATTAAACTCTAATAATTAGCAAGTGTAAACAGTTCCAAAAACTAGCACAACGAAACCTTCTAACACTATTCCTTATTGCTTCGTGGAATCAGCATTTTTCATTTAGGACATGTTATGAGTTTTACTTAAAAAGAGCCAGGTAGGCAGTGTATACCTGTACTCCTAGCACTTCAGGAAGCTGAGGCAGTGGGATTGCCAATAAAGAAAAAATAGTTTGAGGCTATTCTGGTTTGCATACCAAGTATCAGGTCAGCCAGAACTATGTGATAAGACTCAACAAAATAAGAAACACCAGAGAGATGGCTCATCCATTCTTTTTTGTTGTTGTTGTTGTTTTTCAAGACAGGGTTTCTCTGTGTAACAGTCCTGGTTATCCTGGAACTTGCACTGTAGACCAGGCTGGCCTCAACTGAGATCTGCCTGCCTCTGCCTCCTAAATGCTGGGATTAAAGGCGTGCGCCACCATCATCATCCAGCTCATCCATTTTTGAACAGGAGAGCAGTTTAGTTCCCAGGACATATATCAGGCAGCTCACAACTTCCTGTAACTCCAGCTCTTCTTTGGGCCTTACACACACACACACACACACACACACACACACACACACACAAAATAAATATTACAAAGTAATAAAAAATAAAAATGCATGTTCCGATGTGTAACTCCTACACTGGGAGGCTGGGACAGCTTGGGCTACATAGAAAGATTCTACAAATAAATAAATGGGGGCTGGAGAGATTGCTCAGTAGTTAAGGGCACTTGCTGCTCTTATAAAGTACCCAAGTCTAGTGCTGTGAACCCATATTGGACAGTTCCCAACTGTCTGTAACTTCAGTTCCAAGTGAGCCAGTGCTGTCTTCTGGCCTACCTATGTACCTGAACTCAACATGCACATATCCATACACATAATTTAAATCTTTTTTTTTAAATATTTATTTATTTATTTATTATATATACAATATTCTGTCTGTATGCCTGAAGGCCAGAAGAGGGCACCAGACCTCTTTACAGATGGTTGTGAGCCACCATGTGGTTGCTGGGAATTGAACTAAATCTTTATTTATTTATTTATTTATTTATTTATTTATTTATTATGTATACAATATTCTGTCTGTATGCCTGAAGGCCAGAAGATGGCGCCAGACCTCTTTACAGATGGTTGTGAGCCACCATGTGGTTGCTGGGAATTGAACTCAGGACCTTTGGAAGAGCAGGCAATGCTCTTAACCACTGAGCCATCTCTCCAGCCCCATAATTTAAATCTTTAAAATAGAAATATGATTAAGAACTGGAGAGATGGCTCAGTGGTAAAAAGCAATGGCTGCTCTTCCAGAGGACCTGGGTTCAATTCCCATCACCCACATGAAAGCCCACAGCTGTCTATAACTCGTTTTAAAGATCTGACACCCTCACATAGACACACATGCAGGAAAAACATCAATGCATATAAAAATAAATCTTGAAAAAATATTATCACATACATGTATAAAACTGTCCCATTAAAAATATCTCATTTCCACAGCATTGATTTTAGTGTTAAGTGGATTGATAAATAGAATATAACCTGTTAATAAAAGTTTCATGATATACAAAGTAAAAAAAAAAATCCATTTAAGTAGAGAAAAAATAGCAAACAAATTGCCATATTCTTTGGACTACATGGATATATTCTTTAAAAATAACAACCAAATCATTTGGTAAGCTGTGATAATCACAACATTTGAATAAAGGTATATTAATATCAATCCAAAGCCATTCTGTACTTATCATTCTTTTTATAGTCAATTAAAAACTTTATCACAATTTTATTTTAGAGTTGAGAAACTTTAGTAGTATCTACTCTAAAATCCTTTGTTTCCAAATGAGATCCAGTGAGCCCAAATGGTCATAGACCAGATACTAAAAGAAGGAAGCTATAACAAAGTATTCAGCGTTGGTATGAGATTGCCCCTGCTTCATGTACTAA